TGAGGAAGAGGGGAACATGATGAATTTAAGGGCATGACTAGAATCTGTTGCTATGCTGTTCAATTAGGTGTTCCTCAGTATCAGTTCTTTCCTGATAATTCTAACTTGAGTGGGGAAGAATGTCTTCTGATGAATTTGATTACTCTTTTGGAAGCTGTTAATGCTTTAAAAGTTACAACATTATTCTCATTTGGCTTTGGCAGGGGCAACTTTAGATGCAGACACAACATGACAGAGATTGCTAGTAATGCCCTAAAATGTATCATTACCTTTTCCTAAGTTAGTTGAAACATTGATTTTTTGCTCACTGAATAGGCATGAGAATGGGCTGGCCATTCCCCCAGGCTTTCTCTCAACCAGTGTATGATATTATGTTCTAACCAATAAGATATGAATTCAAGAATATAGAAAGTAAATCTGATTTTTGCTATTCCCTTTTCCCATTGCCTGGTAAACATCTTAAATCATGTGAAAAATAGTACTTCACTACCTGGCAAGTTCACAGGATTGAACAAGCTAATCTCCTTGACATTTCATAGCTCTGGGTTATTTAAACCTGGGCTGCCAGGTTAGAGAGAAATAAATTTCTGTTGTGTTTAAATCACTGCTTTTTTTTTCTATTTCTTTTTCTATAGCAGCAGTCAAATCTGCCTTTCGAACAGGATGTGCACATGTCGAATGTTTCTCATACTTTCATAAAAACAGCAACAGGACTCCTAGATAAATGACAACAAATTGCAATTTCATAATTATATGTTTTTCTTTTAGTTTTCCCACATGAAAATGCTATGGGCCTCTGCCAAGCCTGGCTAGGAATTATTTGATAGATAATTGTTGAACATGAAATTACAAATGCAATGTATTATAAGTCAGGAACATTTTGAACATAAACTCCTGATGTGTCTGTGATTTTTGTTGTCAGATTCCTGGGGCCATAGCAATATTAGTAAATAAATACAAGCAGAAAAATGTCCAACTCATATTTTATTAGTGTGTTTTTCCAGGAGAAGTTCAACATATTTTTTTCTTCTGATTTCCAATATTTAGTTTATATTTTTCTAACATGTTTTATTGATTATGCCTATACTTGGAAGATATTTGTAATGTCAAACTGGGGCAATGTGTTTACATGTATATCTCAGAGGATCTGAGAAATTGAAACCAGTTTAGAAATTTTTCAGCTGATAATTAATGTTCTAAAAGGGTTCTTATCTACTCTTTTTTATAGAGAAGTTCAAGTGGCTCTTACCATCAATTACCAGTTCTTTCATTTCTGAGAATCCTTAAGAAACAAGCTGTTCATTTTGTTCCTCTGTGATTTTCAGACAGCTCTTTACAATTTTTTTTTTCCACTGCCAGGTCCGAATACTTATAATTCTGACTTAGAACAAAGTTGAAGACTGTGACAAGGTTCTCTTGGCACAATTCCAGGAACTCAAATCACAATGGAGCCACACATAAATTTTTATGTGTATTCTTATGCACATAAAAATAGTGAGAGGGAACTGATTCTGGTTTTGTAGCGTTGTCTTGTATATGTATTTAAGAGGGTAAAAACTGGGGGAAAAAGGATCATAGATATTTTCCAGCAATGCTAGCATGACACTTGGAATATCAATGGGTATTTGCAAAGAAAATATGAAGTTTTAAGAATGAGAAAATCCTGAACAAGGTTATGTAGCTTAGCGAAGAGCACTTGCCTAACATGTGCAAGGCCCAAGATGTGATCCTTAGCACCATAAAAATGTATTTTAAAATTATCATGAAATTCAAATGCTCAGGACAACCAGTTTCTAAAATATGTTTATATTTTATTCATCCTTGAAAAGACATAGCCCTGTATTTTGACAACAATCAAAAACCAGTTTCTATTTTTTTTATTATTCCACAGTGCAGACTAAGAAATCATCCCCTATACTTCTCACAACAGCAGCTTTGAGGTCTGAATAAACAGCCCCATTTAAGGAGGCAGAAAGGAGAATAAGGTTCCTGGGGAGATGGCTGATTGAGGATAGCTTGATAGAGCAGCTTTCTCTTGATAAGGATGATCATGTGGCTCTAGAGCATCCACCTTCTAAATACAAAATAGAAAACCTAGCTTCCTAATTTTTGTATTTTGGTTTTTTTCAATTGACAAATAATAACTGGGCCTATTTCTGGGGTGCATTGTGATATACACACATTGTAAAAAGACTTAACCCAACTAATTAGCATATCCATCAACTCACCAACTTATTTTTGTGGTAAGAGCATTAAACATTTTGTTGTAGCAATTTTGCAATCTGCAATACATTTTTAATAACTGGGTCACCAGGGAGTGCAATAGGTGAGTAAACCTTCTTCTTCCAATCTAACTGAAATGTTTTACTCTTTCATCCACATCTTCCTTTTCCATCCCCTCCCTGGCTTTAACCTTTCAACTTTGTTTCTATGAGATTGATTTTTTTTTTGGCTTCCACAGTTAAAATTGACCATGTAGTATTTATCTATCTGTACCTAGCTAATTTCATTTAGCATATTTTTTCCAGTTCCATCCACACTATTGTGAATGACAAAATTTCTTTGTTAAGACTGCATGGTATTCCACTGGTTATGTGTACCACATTTTCTCTATCCATTAATCTATTAATGAAAACTTAGGTTGTTCTAATTTCTTAACTACTATGAATAATGCCAAAATGAACACAAGAGTGTAGATATCCCTTTGACATACCAATTTCAGTTGCTTTGGCTATGTACCAAAGTGAGAATGTTAGATCACATGTTAATACTATTTTTAGGGTTTTTTTTTTTGAGAAATTTCCATACTCTTTTCAAAACATACTCATTCCCATCAACAGTGTGCCCTTTTCTCCACATCCATGTCAACACTTTTTATCATTTATCATTTTGATATCACAATGGGATATTATTGCCTTTTACCTGTTAGAATGGCTGTGAGGAAAAAAAAATAGAGCTGCTTTTTGACCTTGAGTGCTTATTCTGAGACCCCTGGCATTCCTCACATGCAAGCTTGGACTTCCTTATTTTCACCATTTCTTTTCAGGCAAGTCTGTGCTTTGTATGAAGTTTCTGGAGCATGTTAGAAATTGTCATACCTATACAATATAGCAGCATCAACGTATGTTTGTGCAGCATATTAAGCAGCATGAAATCAGAACAGCAAACAATTCTCATGTCTTTCATGTTACATGTGCCGTGTGGCGAATCATTGCTTTCTTCCAGGAAAAAAAAAATGTAGTGGATTAAGTGATGCTTGGATCATTCCTTTAGAAAACTAACTAGGTACCTACTCAATTATGACCTCTATTTAAAATACTTTGATACAGTAGGAAATAAACACCTCCCAGCTTTCATGCAGCATGCACATTGTACAAAACAATACTTTTTATTTATTTCAAATATTTTAAGTTTTCAGATAATTTAAATCAGATAAATTCTATCGAGAAAAGCAAAGAAATTTTTCTATGATGAGGTTCAGCCTGGGTGTGGGAATTAAGAGTGGAGGTGGTGTGAAGAAAAGGACAATCTATGGCGGACAAAATCAGAAATTTGACCGTTCGATGTTCATCCCAACCACTACTGCATCTAAATGAATGAATCATAAGGTTCTTAATAAGGACAGCAAGAGTTCAAGTGGGGGGCAAGACTGTCAACCATAAAATCCATAAATAAGAATTTCCATAAAGTCAGATGATTGTTATCAAAAGAAAAAGTTGATAAAACTGGAGCACATATTTCAATGTGCAGCTCACTATTAAGAGCTTCATCATTGTAAAACTACTTCAGGTCCAGTACTATTATCTGACAGTGTTGACAAAATATTCATTCCAGAACAACAAAAAGTTTGTACAGCTTAGATATATATTTCAATACCACTGGATTTCCTTTATTTGCCTCATTTTCATAATACTGGTTCACAAATCTTGCAATCAGTTGCCTGATCACTGCACATTGTATAAAGCAATACTTTTTATTGATTTCAAATATTTTAAGTTTTAAGATAGCCAACTATTGTTAAGTTTATGCTGTGTTTGAATTCACTAAAAGATGCATAGAATTTTACTGGGTAAATGAAAGTCAGGTTGCTTTAAGAGAAAGTTTCATGCACTGGAAAATGTACTTGCATTTTCACTTCACTAAAGTAAAGATATGCTGGCAATGCATACATTATCTATGTAAAAGAAATCAGTGATTGTTTGACACTATAAAATAATTACTGCCACACTTAAGACATGATCATGGTATGGGATTAAATTGGGGTTAAATGTGCTTATCATTCAGAGATCTACACTCATATATTTTTGTAGAAAATGCTGTGATGTCTGGACAAGATAGGGTTATAAAATGATTGTTCTATGGTGTGGCAAAATTTTCCAAACTCCCTTTGGGAAATAAAGTCCAACACACACTTCTTCCCTTTACCTCCAAACTTCACTGTAGCAACTCAGTGTTCTCCACTAGGAGTTAATTTTCATCTGTACCTCGTATTCCAGATCACCAGATGTGGAAAGACATATACAGCAAGAAAATTATAGTAGTTTTCAGCAACTCTTTCCCAAACAGCTACACACATCATACACACAACAGCAACATCATAGACTCCGGATATGCAGATTGAGAAGCTGAGAGACCATTACCCTTGCAGGCTCTATCTGGACAGCTAGACAAGGCCAGGGGAAAGCAACTAGAAGAAATGAACCTGAGTTTCTCTCTTCCTCTCCTACTCCTCTCCCTCCCCCTTTCCCCACCAAACACAAAATTGAGCTCTGTCCTGCTCTTCCTCTCCTCTCTCTTTCTCCAGCCACTCCATTCCATCATGCCCTGCAGGTTGTCGCCCCCCTCCCTCTTATCCCCAGTCCTCTCTCCTCTGCTACCTCCCTCCCCAGCAGCTGGTGCAAACGCCACAGCTGCTGCTGCTATTGCCTCTGCAGCCAATCTCTGTCAATATCACCCCGCCCACGCCCGATCTGGATTCTGAAGTCGCGCACTGGCCTGGGGATGAGGGCGGGGGAGAGAGTGGCGTGGCCGAGAGAGAGGGGAGGAGGCGTGGGAAGGAGACAAAAACAGCTTCCAAGCAGCTGCCTGCAGGCGCGGCTCCACTGGGCATCTGGGCAGGAGGGGTCTCTGGATCAGTGGCTGGGGAGCCGCCCAGGTTGATTTGGTTTCTAGCTAGCAATTCAATGGGGCCGGTTTACTGCTGAGCCATCCTGGCCCGAAGGGGCAGCAGCTAGTGAGGACAGACGCCAGGCTAGCAACACCTCCTAAGCAACCAGAGCTGAGGAGACCAGAGATTGGTGAAGACACAAACCCAAGAGAAGGAAAGGCCTCCAGGGAACCTTGCTTCACAGGGTTCCCACGGGGTGCTGGTGGAGACCTGTCCCTGGGTTGCAAGTAAGTGATTTTTCTTGCTATGGTGTCCAGTCTGAAGATGGTGATAGCTGTATCTGCTGCCAGCTTTTTCCCACCCACCCTGGCTGCCCACTCCATACAATGTGTGGGGTCTCCAACAGAACTGAGATCAAGATTTTGGCCATGAATTAAGAGAGCCAGGGACTCCAAGAGCACTGGAGGTCTGTGGATGTTTGCTCTGCACTGTATGTGTGGTTAGTTATCTCTTCCCAACAGGTAAGCTTCTGAAACCAAGGCACTGTTAGTGTACATTCTAGACACCTTCTATGGCAATGGCTTTTATATTACATGACACCCTGATAGTAGAAATGGAGTGAAATACTTCTAAGGAATCCAGTCTCCTTATTCTCTGTATCTTAGTAAGTTCAAGATTAGTATTTTCCACAGGAAAAAAATCATCAGTATAAAAGGAGAAGCATAAATGTGATTGAAAATGCTTGAACAACTGGGCATTTTGGTTTTGTTGTGTTCAACAGCATGTTTTTGGTTTGTGTTGTGTTTGTTTCTTCGCTTTTGCACTGCTTACATCAGGAAGATGCATATCTTCTGAAGGTTTTGCTTTTTGTGGGAAGAGAGTTGATGTACACTGTAACCAGACGTGACTCTGGTTATGGGTTACCTCCAGCACTTGGGACACTGGACAGAGCAGAATAGATGCTGAATCCATGTGGAATTATCCACTGATGGACCACTTTCATTCCTGGAAATATTGGACTGAAGTTTGGATATTGGCCAGGAAAATATTTTGAAATAGGAGGAAATTTGGGTGTTCCTTTTTGTGGAACACAAAAGGATTTCCTGTCACCCAAGAAATCATTCAAGAGAATGGTTTATGGTAAATTTAGAAGGAAACTGGGCCCTCTAATAAATAGAGCTCCAGGCCCTGTACCTGCTAAGACTAGCCCCGATTAAAATACAATAATCCAGTTGCTGCCTTTACAGGTAAGAAAGATATTACCTACAAGGAGTAATTTGATGAAGTTGTCTAATTAACAATAGAACTGTAAATTCAATGAGAAAATCTTTGGGATTTAGAATTATAAAACTTGATCTCCATTTCTGTACAAAAGAAGCAAATTACTGAACTTGATTAAGATTTATTTTCCTGATTTATAAATGACACATCAAAAAGTTCTGCTAAGAACTAATTGACAGCAATTACATGAAGAGTTTTATGAAAGTAAAATTTTATAGAACTGTTGCTTATATAGGGAACTATTTTATGTTTTTTATCAACTTCATCATTCCAGTTCTCAAAGTCTAGTACAATATGAAAAGAAAAGGTTTTTCAATTGCCCTTTCATGAATGACTAGAGGAAGTGAAACTCAGAACTGTCACTTGCCATTTGTACAGTTATAAGCATGTTCCAAACTGTAAGCCTTTTTTTCTTGCAAAAGAGTGTGCTTTGGTTAGGCTCTTATCCTTACATACTTTTAAATATTCTATAAATATGCTTTACTCTCATTCTCTTTTTAATTTAAAATTATATTTTAAGTATGTGATGTTGCTTCCTAGGAATGAAATCATCAAGTATATTGGATATTGCTATCTTTATTTGGTCCATAAATTAATAAATTAGTGTTTAGGCATAAATACTCTTGACTGTAGAACTCATTAAAATTTTGCACTCAAGTAAGAGGTATTATGAGCCCCCTTTTCCTCTGTGGATATGTTTAAGTGATAGTAGAAAGATCTGAAATTGGACACAGGCTCTGGTAAAGGGGCAAGGACAAGTTCAGACCCCTAAACCTATTGCTACATATTAGTCTCCATTGTAGACCTAGAAGAATGAAATTGTTAGAAACTGGTCATTCTGTTCCCAAAATGTTTTGTAGTGTAAAGAATTTGGTAGGATAGTTGATACACATGCTTACGATTTTACCTAAGTAGGATGATTGCAAATCTAAGCATACTAGAAATTAAAACAATGGTATTTTGTTCAATCTCCTATTTAGGGAAGAAGCATCCGGATACACCTCATACATGCCATATGTACTGCAACCAGGGTACTCAGAGACAGATCTGCAACTCTCTACCTACCACCTGAGACTCTTGAAAGCTTATGTTGCAAGAATTAGTGTAATATAGACTTTCTTAATTTCTGGGAATCTGATTCTATTTTTTGAAATAGAATAATTAGAATCTGATTCTAATTATTTCTGCTAGCCACTCTCAGTATTGGTCAGTTTGAGAAGGACATTTGTAAACCCTACCTACTGCCACTGGCTATCAAGAGTGCACTGTTACCTGTCATCATATGTGACTCACTCGTAGAAACAGATCTCATTTTTCCCTGACGTGGTTCTCTACTTTTGTGTTAGCATGGGCTTTGAGGTCTCATCTCTGTGACATAAAAAGAGTGAACCTTTGAGGGAATGTTTTCATCTGTGCATTTGTGGAGATTTTTTTTTTTTAATCTGGGACACATCTCTTGACTCATTTAAGATCCTGGTTTCCATACATTTGTTTAAAATGCTTTCTTTTATAAACCAGTCTCCATTTTGCTGTACTCCAACCTAATATCCTAGAAAACAGATAACCCTAATGTGTTCATAGTATTTCTAACTTAACTGACTCAACCTGAAGCTGGCTGAGAATAGCTAACTCTGTGGACGGCTCTGACTGTGGTGAAAATCAGCATCAAAGACCTTGGTAGAAAAACTGAAGGGAGGATGCCAGAAAGAAAATTATAAATTGAATGTCTGAGATTAGGATTAGGATAGGATATCAAGTTTTAAACTAGAACCTCCAATGATACTGGTCTAGGGGCCATAGTCCCTGGTTGAATATACTGTTCTCAGTGAAATATTCCATCCCTTCTGCTTTAAATGTTAGGGTAAGCCTCCTAGCCTACCCCTCTCTTACTCTTCAAGTTCTTCCAGAGCCTTCATGGTCTAAGCACCTGATTACAAGCTAGAACTTTGGCTGTCGTCCAAATCTACTCTCTCCCCTAGGCCCTTGAGCCCTAGGGAAGGTGATATATCTATATAGATAGATAGATATAAATATAGATATAGATGTCCAACTTATAATGAGATAAAAACTAACTCATGCTTACCTCAGTACATTTCAAAACTCCTCTCTAATTGCTCTCCTATTTGAAAAGGACATGGATCTATATTATGTTTGTTTCCACATTTGAAAATCTAGAGTAGCTTTTGTGGGCAGGGGAGATGAGAAAAGCAGACAATTTCATAGTTATCAGGAGCAGAGGTATATAGTTCCAACAGGCCTCTAGGGTTCTGGTAAATGTGCCAATTCTGGAATTTAAAGGAACAAACAAACAAAAAAGAATTTCGTAGATCCAGTGGCATCTAAAACTGTAGACCAAACGGTCTCAGGGTTCCTAGTGATAAACAAGTTGCATTCATAACAGGATCTCCTTTGTATTACTCTAGCAAAGACAAGAGTACATTCCTCCCTTTTGAGTTCTTAAATGGCCTCTGGCCAGAGTCTTCTGGTCAAGGGTCTGACTGAGTAGGGCCATAGGAATGGTTCTGAAAAGATTCTGGCTTGTTTTGGTAGACTGGACAAGCACAAAGAGACATTTTCCTCACATCTGTAGAAGCAGAAGACCCTTCTATGGAACCATGCTGCTTTCATAGGGAAGGTTAAATGAACATGTTTTAAGCCAGAGCAGCTTTCCTTCTTGTTCCTGGAGCTCTTTCCTGCCTCCTTTGTCTGGCTAGTCATCAGAGTTCACCCCGGGGAGACTCATCCTCCACAGAGACTCTACCTATGCTATGTCTCCAAGCATTCAAACTTCCACTGAGCTTTCCTTGGACGCTATTTCGTAATTGAATTTGAGATCAGGTACTGTTCTCAGGAGTCTGTCTTATATCTAGTCTTCTAGTGAACGTTGACAGTGCCCATTGGAATTGGAATGTGTGTGACTGCAGTACTCCTCCCTGCAAAAGAGACATCAGCAAAGACCTCAGCTCCTGGTTATTTTAATAAAGCTTCATTAGAATCTAAATTTATGAAGCTTTGGGGCAGGGGGATTCAGTCTTCAAAAGGCAATTTTTGTATTTGGGAAAAGATGGGACTAGCACCTTTGAATTTTTACTGGTACTCATTTGTTTATTGAACTATTTCCCTTGTTTTTTTTTAATTCAGAAGAAATTCTGGATTGATATTGTTAAAAACAAAAATGACAATGCACATGACAGACTTTTGTTCTTTTTTAAGACTGGGTATTATGCCATTGTATACATATATCACATTTTCTTTATGCAATCGTCCTTGATGGACATTTGTGTTCCTTCCATATGTTGGCTATTATAAATAATGCTATAATAAACATGGTAGTACAGATATATCCTAAACATATGGATATTCATTCTTTTGAACATACACTATTTTTGACAAGATAAATGAACAACATAGATGACTTTATGCTAAATGAAATTTGTCAGGCATAGAAAAAATGTAGCAACTCCTTGGTATTTAGGCAGTGGGTTCTTGGATCTCCTGTGGATGCCAAAATCTGCAGATTCTCAAGTCTTATATAAAATGATGTACTATTTGCATATGATTTATGTATATTCTCCCATATACTTTAAGTCATCTCTAAAATTACTTATAATACTTAATATAATGTAAATATGTGTAAATAGCTGACACGTTGTATTGTTTAGGAAATAATGATAAGAAATTGTCTGTTCATGCTCAATACAGATGCAGGTTTTCTCCAAAAAAATTTTTTTTAATGACTGTGAAATAGTTTCTTTATTTAATCAGTACAAATCAAGGACACTGGTAAACAGCTGTTCTGCTATCAGGATGGCACACAGTTCAAAGTAAAAGTCTACAAAGTAAAAATATACAAAGCTGATGTTGTTTTCTAGGGCACTGAGACCTCAATTGCTGAGATCTGGGGTATGATCCTCATCCAGCATATTTCACTTACCTCTGTCAATATTTGCTAAGTCTTATTAGCATTTATGTCTATGATCTAAATGGTTTTGATCCATTGTTAGTT